GACTTCATCTTCTCAACCTGGAAACTAAGGCTTTACTCATCAGTCTTAAGTACTGCTGTTTTACATGGCAATTAAGAGATGCTGGTACTTGTTTTCAGATCCATAGTATGGAAAATAAAATGAGCTTTATAGTACACACAAGACAGGCTGGTCTTGTCGTAAAACTACTAATGAAGTGAAATGGACAGTTGATGCCCTCTGAAAGAAATTCGTGAAGGAGAATAGCTGGTATTCAAGCCACCTCTGCAGAGTTTTTTCCACGAAAGATTTCTTAAAATGTTACTATTAACAAGGCACTTAGTATCTTGTAATATATATGTATGCTATTACGTACACTGTACAGAATCTGTACTTATGTTTGGTGTGTAATACACAAATTTTATATGATAGGCTCATAAGCTATTCTAATTTTTGAGAGAGACCCATAAACATAGAGAGTGACAGTCTGTATCTTATTAGACAAAATAGTAAGCTTTATAAAAAGTTATTTTGATAAATGGTAAAGAATTTAGAATAGAAAGTGATGAAATTAAAATGTAGCTTTGATATATCTGTGCTATTTCAAAATATACTGAAAACGAACATGATTTGAATAAAATGTATTTTCTACTTGGAAAAAAGATATATGTGTATGAAAATGTCACAGTGAAGTCCACTGTTTGGATGCTAATTAGAAAAATGAATAAAAGACTAAATTTTAAACATTTTATTCAAGAAGATAAAAAAAGAACTCTAATACAAGCCCAAAGAAAATAAGTCTCAATAAATAGAAACTAGAAAACTAGAGCGTTAAGCAAAAACTAAAACCAAGATAGACTTAAAGTTTTTTTAAAAATAGGAGTTGGGGATTTAATGCAGTGGCAGAGCTCTTGCCTAACAAGTGCAAGGCCCTGGGTTCGGTCCTCAGCTCCAAAAAGAAAACAATTAAAAATAGTATTTGTTTAGTGTGTCTGTGTATATGCATGTACATATGTGCCATGGCAATATGTGGAGGTCAGAAGACAACTTTTGGGAGTCAGTTCTGTCTCTCTACTATGTGGGTTCTGTGCATCAAACTCAGGTGGTCAGGCTTGATGATAAACACCTTTATCTGCTGAACCATCTTCTTGACCACCCAAGATAGATTTTTTTTTGAATAGTTTTTTTGAATTTTATAGTAGTCAAATCTTTTGCAAAATATAATCAAGAAAAGGCAGGCACAATAAGACAATACTTGGGAAAAAGTAGGGATCTATCCTCAGTAAATTGTTCCTATTTTTACTTTGTGTGTGTGTGTGTGTGTGTGTGTGTGTGTGTGTGTGTGTGTGTAATGGGAAATTGAACACGGGGCCAGGCACATGCTAGGCAAGGGCTCTACCACTGAGTTCACCTTCAGCCTACAGTTTTTAAAATTATATGTAAGAAAAGAGCATAGATGAGTTTCACCTACTAAATCCGAAAATCCAGGTAGAATAGATGATTGTTTTGAAAAAAAAAAACTTCAAAAAATTTATTTCTGAAAATATTTGAAGACAGTTAAAGATTAACTACTAGCAAAACTGCATCAGGCCCAGACTGTTTTCAAGACAAATTTTCTCACAGCCTGTTCTTTTCTGCCTTTGTTTTTCATTAAATTTGGGGTCTTGTGTAGCTCATATCAGCCTTGAATTCTTGGTGCTAAGTGCTGGAGTTATAGGGTCACCACACCTGGTCCTAAATTTTTGAAGAATAGATAATATCTATGTTCTCAACTATAGTAGAACACAGAAATATCTGGAGCATTACCAACTCCTTTTATAAGACTGAAGCTTATATATGAACCCAATAAAGAAAACCACTTATTAAAAAGAAGCACAAAAACCACAGGCCAAATTCGTAAGATAAACTAAAGTGAATCTTTTAAGCAAAGGATTAGGAAGCTGAATCCAGTATCAGTGAAAGAATAATTCAAAAGACCCTAAGATTTATCCTGGAATTTCCTGGTTTATTTAACTTTGGGAAATCCGTAAATGAACTTCCTTATGTTAAGAAAGGAGAAGAAAGCAGAGCTTCTTAAACTGTGGGTCACAGCTCCACATCAGGTTGTAGAAAGACTTGGAGATTGCAAAGAATTTGGCAACTGTAAAGATTTTTGAATGCTTAGAGAACAAAAATTAATTCATATTCGAACATGTAACAAATCCAAGGTGTTTCTGGCAACACCTGCCCTGTTCATGGTGTGACTTCATTGCATCCTTGGTTTTGAACACACAGCATGCACACTTGGCTCTGCGAGCCTTTGTAGCTATGCACTAGTGACAAACATAACCTGAAACATCCTGGCTCAGGTTTGAGACTATTGTGCATTATAAATTATAGTGTTTTTACTGTCCTTACAAAGTTTTCAGTGCATAGGAACATTTTTGGCTTAATTATGGAAAAAAAAGACTTTCAAAGTTTTGTACTGTCATATCTCAACATCTAAGTATCAAATTAATGTATCTTTGGGTTAAGTTTTATTAGAATATATTGTTTTAAAAATTGATCTTTGAGTTGCTGACTTGAGTTTCATAAACAATTGTTCATTGCATTTTATCTTGAGATAGGACAAAACTCCTAATAACCTCTCAAGTGACTCTAACCATACACTCCTGCCATTTTTTACTAGGTATTTATGCAAAGTGGAGTTCTCAGCATTGAATTATTAAAATCAATATTCTGACATATTCTGAAGATGCTCTATGTCCTGTAGTATCAGATATTCAGTGAGGATTTAATTCTTTACATGAAAACAATGTAAATTTGCTTTCATCTATAATAAAAGGTAAAATTATATGAACAACAAAGAATTCTCTTAGAAGACATTTCTTTATTATTTTATCAGTACATTTGTGAAGTGTTTACCTATTTTAAACCTCTGTGTGTATGTGTGTGTGTGTGTGTGTGTGTGTGTGTGTGTGTGTAAACATTTCTCAGGCAAAAAGGGGTTACAAGTAGAAAAAGCTTGTGAAGCCCTGATCTAAACAAATGTTGTAAAAGAATTTAGTAAAACCCAACATTTCCTAATTGAGACTGTCATTTAAGAATGGAAGGAAATTGCTCTAAAGTAAGAAAAAGTGTGAAAAAGTGTGTTCTGAAAGCAACACTTGCCAGTGAAACCTTAGGAGTATTTTCACAAAAGACAGGTATAGGGCAAGGTTTCTCTTGATGTTACCTCTATTCACAACTATTCTAGAAATTCTAATCAGTGTCAGACTTCAGAAGAACAAACAGGAAAGGTGACATCATTTAAATAATGACTCTAAAGAATCAATGAGAACCGCTTAAATATATTAAGTAGATAAAAAATCAAAATATACAAATAAGTACATTGCCTACACAGCACTAACAAAATGGTACAGTGGAAAAGGGTTACATTAATGATGAGAATGAAATTCATTAAAACCCAAAACAAACCTAGTAAGAAAGTTGTAAGAATAAAGAAAACAAAATAGCACAACTTTAATGAGAGATATGTAAGGGTTAGCAAATAGAAAGACACCACGTTTCTCTCTGGAAAGATCAGATATTAAAAGAAGTTCATGAACTGATTCTATATTTCACACAAAAGAGGAAATAGGAAGAGCTAGGCTTCCCTGAAAATGAAGAATGTGTTATTTTTTAAAAATAAACCTCAACAAAACCTATAACAGCATAATAAATAAATAAAATGTCATACATGGTATGGACCCAGAAACAGATTAACTGAATGTTGAAATTAGTGAATACTTGAGGGAGCCTTGTTTATCGTATGAGTAGCATTTCAGGAAAGTGGGAACTAGTCTGAACGTTCAATAAGTAGAACTGAGAAAATGATCAGCTTGGAAAGATGAACACGTATCTTCCATAACTTATAAAACAAAAAATCTCCATATGGCTTAAAGAATTAAAAACAAAGTTATAAAGAATTAGGATAAGAACATGGGAGAATATTTTGTATACTTAACTGGACTAGCAAACACCAAATGGATTAATAAGAAATGTGGATGACAGGCCTATAGATTTGGGACATGTATCAAAGTTTAAAAAGTCAATACTTTTATAGCAAAAATTCCAAAGTAGAACCCTACATTGAAGGCAATATTCTTTGCATCAATTCTTATGTTTATTAAAATTCAATCATATGATACATTTTTATACATATAGGCCAAAGACAGAGAAATATTAGTAATTGAAATAAAAGTAAGTAAGGCCTGGGGTGTTAAGGTGTCAGTGAATAATGGAATATTCCAAATGAGCCTCTAGTAAAGCTTCAGATAAGGAATGAACTATGGGAAGGTCTTTCAGAGGCCTTGGTGGACAACGTGGCATCGGTGGCATTTGAATGGAGATGAGGACAAGCACCTGCATTTTATAAGCAAGTCCATGGAACAGAAGATTAAACTGGATTATATTTTAAGTATTTTTCTCTCATGCTATGATTTTTCCAAACAGGTAAAAAAAAAACCCAGCAATACAATTTTGCTATTCTCCATCCAGATGTCTCATGCTATGAATCCCAGTATCACTCAAAATTCATGCAAAAGGTGAGTTATAAATAGATGCTCAGAGATTTATTCTAGCTGGTTAGAAATATTATCTCTAGATAGAGCATGAGGCATCCAAGCATCAAAAAGAAACTCATCTCAAGTACACCTAATTTTCAAAGCTATTTGCCAACCATGACAGCACAGCTTTACACAGATATTAAATCTTGATTTTAAGTGCTCCGCATATAAACTTTCCTACTTGGGTTAGGAGTTATAATCAGATTTTTAAAACCTCATTTCATATTTTATTTCCATTTTCAACTTTTTCCCTTTCCTTTTTCATGTCCAAAACCCACTAAGCCATTTAAGTCCTGTGGAATGCTTATAATTCTCCCCATCCCACAGAGATAGATTATTTTCAATGGAACTGTTGCATTCTCTGTAAAGTCAATCAAGGGGTGAAGCCTTAAGAGCATGAATGTGTTTCTTTTCCATCCACTGTGACTCAGTGCTGGAAAGAAGTCAAATACTGACCACAGCACCTCTAGTTCCTCTTGCACCCTTGGGGCCACTTTCCCCAACTTGTCCAGGAGCGCCTCTGCTTCCAACTTCTCCTGTGGGTCCCATTTGTCCTTTATCCCCCTGTGGATGGCATTAGCATGAGAGAAAAGTGAGCAAAAATAAGTTTATTAGTTTATCTAACTGCATCATATATTTGAATGACTCTAGAGGATACCCATAAGGGAAACAAAATTCTAAAAATGACTGTTGTCATTATTGTTGCTTTTTTTTTTCTTTTTTTTGTGAGACAGGGTCTCACCATGTAGCATTGAATGTCCTGAAGCTTCTTATGTAGACCAGGCTGACCTTGACTTTGTGCGCAATTCTCCTGTCTCTGCCTGCTGAGTACTGAGATTACAGGTATGAGCCAATATGCCTGGCCTAAAATTCTGTAAATTATTAACTTTGCTTTAAGTTAGCAATGCTGCAGACTATCTCTAACAATAATAAGATACCACCACCACATGTTATTTGAAAAATAATAGTCTTGGAAAGAGAAGATTAAAAAGACAATTTTTAAAATTAAAATAAATTTAATTAAATAATAGTACTGTACATTATTGTGGCAAATAATAGTTATGGATGAAATTATATATAAAAGTTGTAAAAAACATCATCATTAATCAGATAAAAGTATATTTAGCCTTCTTTTTATTTTTTCTTTAAAATATTTTAATTTTTAAAATTTATTTTATGTGTATAAGTGTTTTGCCTGCATGTATGTAAGTGCACCCATGTTGTGTGGTGCCCACAAAGGCCAGAAGAGAGTATCAGATCCCCTGGAACTGGAGTTAGGGATGGTTGTTAGCTACCACGTGGGTGCTGGGATTCAAATCTGGGTCCTCTGCAAGAACAGCCAGTGAACTACAATAGCCAGGAACTACAATATTGTATGATTTAAAGTTAGCTCTATAATGAATATACACTGAACTGTCATAGTCCAATGGACAAACTGTCTTGTGCTTCACCAATACCAAAGAAAATTATTGAAATCATACAAAGATAAAATTTTCATTGTACTATATTAGAATTTAACAAATATGTAACTTATATATACTAAGCAAGCAAATGAAAAATTTCTTTATTTCTGGTTTTTATTATATGAGAGAGGTAAGAGGATTCATTAATATTTTCAATTAAAGAAAACATTCATAATGAAACTAGAAATGATAGTAATCACAATCTTTCTCCTCTGATATTTTATTAGAATTATTACCAAATAGCACAAATGAAATACTATTTCCACATTTTATCTTTCTTTGTCCATGACTTTTTGGTAAATAAGAGATAAAGAAAAAAAAAGAGCAAAGATTGTTTTTCTAAACTATGAATTAGAGAATCTGCCTTCAAACAATCAAGATAATATATACCCTATTGGATGAAACAAAAATCGACATAGGTATGTTTCAAAGCCACATTTATAAATCTTCATCACTTTGTATCTACTACAAACAAAATCAGTATAGTATTCTGCAGAGCTCTAGGTACAAGAAAGAAAACCAGAAAAAAAAGATGTTAGAAAAATTACCTTTTTTCCTGGACGACCTCTTTGTCCTGGGGTTCCCAAAACTCCTTCAGGTCCCTGAACATTCAATATAAAAAAAAATAGGAATGATTAAAGAGAGTCTAGGGTTTGGATGCTTATACCAGATAACCACTGAATTGAACAGTAAATACAAATGAAAGTTATTTTTCCAACAATATTATGTTTATATAATTGTTTTAGAAAGGTCATAGTGATTTAAGAAACAGTGTTATAGCAAGTTATAAACTTTATACACACAAAGAGGCCAACATAAGAAAAATTGAATTGTCCTTTAGAAGAAAATTACTTGGTTCTAGTATACCCATTTTAATTAATGAGACTATAAAGTATACCTAAATGCATTCATTTTATCATTTTGGTGATCTACATTATAGTTCAGCATTTTGTTGAAAGAATATGATTCTAAAATGCATCTATTACGTGATGAAGGAAAAATCTCAAAATGTCAGTGGTGTGGAGACTAAAAGAATACAAGGAATAGGAAAATGCAGCGAAAGAAGGCCACAGGCATATTAAAATAAACAATAGTTCACTTCAACTGGTAATTTGTTTAGCCAAAAATAGAGTAAATGTTTGCAAAACGGAGTTTTTAAAGTAAAAAAGTGAAGTGATATATGGATTTTCATATCAACAATGATTAAGTGCAATCCACAGTGAGCCAGATTGCAAGTTCTAAAATGAGTAATAATTACAACTTTCTTTTCATTAGTTGGAAATGAAAATGGAAATTTAAAATTTGTGTCCCTAAAGCTTGGCAAACTGATGCAGACAAGAAATAAATTGTGGTTTACCGCTGTGCTGTGCAGGCTCTTGATAAATATTTATTGAATGAATAAACAGATACCCAAGGAAGTGACTCATGCCCCCAATTCCACAGAAAATGCCCTTCTAGCCTCTGTTGCTGTGTTTAGAGTCCAAAGTAGCTATGTCTTATTGCTGTAGTTATAGCTGCATCCAGAGGCCGAAAGGCTAGGTGCACTTTTGGAGGGCTTTGATGCTAACTAAGAAGCTGATTAACCACCATAGAGATTTTAACTGTCAGACTTTTCTGGTTCAGGCACTTAATTGCTAAGCAGCCATGGGCAGATTATTTAATTCATTAAAGGTCTCTCTTTTCTTCCTAGATAAAAGGGGTGTAATAAAACCTCTTAGAAGGGTTACTAAGAACCAGTGACATTAAAATGCATGGAACTCTTGGAAAGGACTAGGCTTATAATGAAGAGCTTGATAAATGTTAATTTACACTAACTTCTGCTTATTCAAATGTATAATTATTTAAATACATACAGAGATATTATTTCATTATAAAAATATAATGAAAACTCATGTACTCACTACCCATGTTAACAAGACCAATATACGCATATGTAATTAGAACTTCATTTATACTAGATCTCTTTAAGAACAACATCCACTTTCCACATAGGGCATAATCAGTGTCCTGGAATTGGTTTTTAAGAATCCCATAAATTTCTTCATACTTTTACTGGATTAGATCTGATCCTCAAGCAATATGCTATTATTTTGCAACTCTTTAAACATTAAGCAGTGCCATATTTTGTTTCTTCTGAGACTTTTTATTAACTCTTTTTGCTTTTATCATTACTGTGTCTTTAATTCTTTTACTTAAAAAATCTATTAACAAATTCCACATTATTGTCAAATCTCAATTTAATCATGTTTCTTAATGATTAGACTTTCCCTTATGACAATGTTGCATTGAATAAACTTCTATGTGTCCATGTCAAGGTTTTTTTCAAGGTATTTATCCTTGAGTTGAATTGCTCACTTATAGACATTAGCTACTGCCAAATTATGCTCTAAATTGGTCTTGCCAATTTACATTTGCACAGCAATGTCTGTGAGTTCTAATTACTTCACATCATCTGTCATGTTTTGCACTCTCAGGCTTATGATTCATCTGCTTCATGAGTACAAAATCGTCTTTTGTCTGCATGAGAGAAGACTGATTACCTACTCATAAAGTCACTGGGTAACTAAGTGTGAATTTCTCCATCTTCCCACTGTTTTACCGGATTGTCCTTTTTTTAAGTTACATATGAAGACATTTTACACACATTGCAGAAGAATGGGTAGAAAGAATATAAAAGCCCAAGAGAAAAGATACCGACTGCTAGTTCATGCATTCTAGACATGATAGGGAAGTTGCACCAATGAAATATCCACAGCTTGGTAGTCTAACAAGATCTGCATAATGACAAAACCAATTGTCATGCCAAGGTAGATGGGGGAAATTCAGAGTCCCACCTCAAGATGAGGACCTACAGGCAATCAATGGATGCTGAGGGAGGGAGAGTTGGTTTTCTCCAGGGATGAGCTCCTTGAGGTTTTCTAATGCCAAATAGGCAACCCTAAATACAGGTACACACAAGCATTACTAAATGGACTCAGTGCATTTTATACACACACACACACACACACACACTCATGTAACTAACAAGTAAGAGGAAAAGAAATTGAGATGAAGTGGGGGTGAATAGGAGGAGTTGGTGGGAGGCTAGAAGGGATACAAATAATCGAAGACAGAATTCATGTATGGAATTATTAAAAAAATTACACATATTAGTAGTTTCTTAATTTTGTATATTATTGTGCTGGATAGCTTTAGTGTCAACTTGACACACCTGGGTTGAGGGAGCCTCAATTGGGGATCTGCTTCCATAGGACTGGCCTGTGGCCATGTCTGTGGGTCATCTTCTTGATTACTGAGTGATGTGGGAGGGCCCAGCCCACTGTGGGTGGTGCCACCCCTGGGCAGGTGGGCCTGTGTGTCATAAGAAAGCAGGCTGAGCAGGGGCCAGGGGAGCAATTCAGTAAGCAGTGTTCCTCCATGGCCTGTGCTCCAGCTCCCGCCTCTGGGTTCTTGCCCTGACTTCCTACTTTGGGCTCCTTGATGAACTGTGACCCAGGAGACATAATATAAAATAAACCCTTTACTCCCCAAATTGGCACTGGTCAGTGTATTCTGTCACAGCAATGGAGAAACAAACTAGGACAATTATGAATCTCCTCCCTCTCTTCCTCCTTTCCTTCCTCCCCCTGCTCTGATGAGTTTTGATATGAATCCCAGGCTTGCCTAGAACTATGGAGCTTATACAGGCCTCAATATCATGTTAATCCTCCTGCCTTAGCCTCCTGAGTGCTGGCATCACTGGCACAATGAGAAATGGCACACAATGCCAGTGATGCCAGAGACTTATTGTTTCTTTGTATTACAACTTTTGATTAACATAATAATTTCATTGCTAATTGTACTAAAAATTCTAATTTAATTTAAACTAGCTTTCTAAGCATTTGCCATTGATAAACATAGAATCTACTGTTGTTCATTAATTTTACATTTGCAGCTATAATTTGTAGTTTTGTTTCATTTTGCTATAGAACAAGTATTTCTAGTCATTTTATCACTATTATTATAAACATTATTCTGAGAAATATTATATAGAAAGAGTGGCAATTCCTCATTTTGTTGTTAAGTATGGGTAGAATGGGAGTATTGATAGTAGTTTGGGTAATTTTTTTGATTTATTGGGGGAGACAATATTCTTTCTTTAATTGTAAAATACATGACTCAGATTTATAACATTTATTTTATTATTTTTATATGTATGAGTATATTGCCTGCATGTGTGTAAGTGCCCCTGTATTGTGCATTGACCACAAAGGTCAGAAGAGGGTGTTGGGTTTCCTGGAACTGGAGTTATGGACCATTGTTAGCTGCCATGTGGGTGCTGGAAATTGAACTCAGGTCCTCTTCAAGAGTAGTCAGTGCTCTTAACTGCTGAGCCATCTCTCCAGCCCCTCACATTTATAATATTTAAAAAAATCTAAAACGGGGGCGGGGAGCTGGAGAGATGTCTCAGCGGTTAAGAACACTGTTCTTGTAGAAGACCCGGGTTTGAATCCCAGCACCCACATGACAGCTAACAGCTGTCTGTAACTCCAGTTCCAGGGGATCTGACAGCTTCTTCTGTCCTCCATGGGCATTACATGACACGGATGCACTTACCTACATGCAGGCAATACACACATACACATAAAATAAAAATAAATATCTTTTAAAAATCTAAAACTTTGCTAAAATATTGATATGAGAGGATTTACAAAACCCTTAACTGTATTGGTCCTTCACAGATAAGTAAATTCAAATATATGTATAGTTGTTGACATGCAGTGATGCACTGTCTACCAACAGTCAGTTCAGCTTAGGCATCATTTGCTTAGGAAGTATTTACAATTTGTAGAGCTGCAATGCATGATTAAAATGAAAGTGCCGACATTGGTAACACTGTCTAAAAGGTATATAATTGATGCATTTGTTACTCTGAGGATGAACTGCACAGCCATCTCTATTTTTAAACCTCTATTCTCATCTCATTTTCAAGTTAGTAATCTTGCTTCACAACTCATTTAGATACAGTAGCAGTCAAATTAGAAGTCTGAAGTCATCTCCCCAAACCTATCTACCAGCATCACTGATGCCTGTGCACACACATATCACTCTTGGTGGGAGGCCAGCCCCTCCCTTGTGTACCTGGATTCCTTGCCCACTCCCTTACAACCCTCTCTTCTGAGAGTCCACTCTTCACTGAATATCAACGCTTCTCTCTATCAGATCATTCCCGGTAATGTTCATGTAGATTAAAAGTTACTCAAAAAGAAATCCTCAAACTTATGTGCCTCCCTTTCCCTTTCCCTCACTTCTTTTCCATTCATTCATTTATTATCATTAATTCATTCACTTCTGTGGTTTTCTAGAACCATCCTCTCTTTCCCCTCCTTACAGCAAAACTTTCTGAAAGACTTGCTTTTTGTGGGGGTCACTATTCAAACCTCTCATGTCTCTTCATTTGGGTTTTCATTCTCCCCTTATTCCTGAAGCTGACCTCTGTGTAGCCAAAGCTAATGGTCATTTTATCTGAAACTTCGTACTTAAAAGCCTTTGTTTTCATTGTAACACACTTCCCTGGTTTTCCACTTACAACATCTTAAATAAAGAGGTCTCCTCCTCTATC